CAGATGTGCGAAGTTCAAAGCCTAGGCACTGTTGATGAACTCTAGTAAGAACGAAACTTGAGTCCAGTGCTTCTCCCGTTTGGTGTGGATTCACCAGAGCAATTGCCCCTTCAAAAGAGGAGGTTTGTTCAAACGACAGCAGTGTGAACGTATCGTTTTGTTGGCAAGTAGACAGTGTGGCGGGGACAGAAGCGAGCGAATGTTCGAAGCACTGCAAACGTCCAATTAATCAGCATGACATCATATGTATGTAACTGGAAATTCAGGGGCGAGATGGCTCAAGTGGTTGGAGCGCGAATTTACTGACCGGAAGGCCTGTGGTTCGAACCCGACCTCTGCCTCTCGACTTCCCCTGTCTAGGCTTGGGCAACCTGGCAATATTCCAGTCCTCTTGCAACCTTCGCGTGTCATGACAGTTAGGCACGGAAAGGGTGCTACAGCTGAGCGAACTGGAAATTTATCTTTGTAAGTTGTCGATGACGGTTGTTGGTCTGAGGAAAACAAAGCGAGGTGTCATTACAGCGTTGCAGCAATGTCATAAAGCATGTGCATTTGTTCACACCTAAACTTGCCTAGCCAACCGGGTAGAGAATAAATAGGGTCGATGAAGTTCATGAGTGATAAACAAACGAGCCCGAATTCAGTGACTGGAAAAACTAAGGGTTCCAAATGCATTCGTACTCGTTCGGACAGTTTTCCTCGCACTAAGTTACCGTGAGTCCGTGGGTGTTCTTTCCGGAAAGAGTTCATCATTTGTTTGTTCGGTTTTCCCGGAAATTCGATTTACCGCGTTTTTTCTATTTTTATCGGATAGGCTGCTCGTCTATCACACCTTCCGGCTTGTGCTTGATTGATCGGGTGTAATTGGGGTCGGTATGTTTGTTGCCAAGGCAACAACAATGTTGTGCCTGCACAGACAAGCATAATTCATCGAGGTTTTCACGATGCATGTGATGGGGTGGCATTTTTACTGGACCAAGAATTTCTTGGTCTGTCATCGGTTCCGGTAATTCCTACTCGACATTCAGTGCAACCAAAGTAGATAACCGATGAACGTGGGCCACTCAGCTCCTTGCCCGCCGAGAGTAATCAATGAAAGCAACATACCGTCGTGAGGTTCCCATTAACTCGAACGGTTGCTTTTGCAGACCCTATGTATCTGTTGTATAGTCGGCGGCCGTCTATTGGTTACGCCTGCACTAAGCCTGTCAGACTACGCGATAAGGAAAAACAGAGGACTCGCGACACGGTTGTATTGCCAGGACAAAACATACAGAGCTTCTGTGTAAATACATAGGATGACTAATTGGCCAAATATGGCCGTTCACTTGCTCGTTGTGTACAGCCAATGGCGTTATTCCGGTCGTGAACACTCTCAGCCCCACCCGACTGTTCTTATGTTGCTAAGCTGTGTTTGGTGAGCTCAGCCAACGCACCTGCTTTCTGGACGTGTCGTACCGATGGCGACCTTGGGGATGTGTCACTCTTTGCACATGTACTTTTTCCATGTCTGGGCGCGTCCTGACATTGTTTCTAGTGTTGCCAACTTGGCACACTTGCCTTGGAGAGAAACCAATAGACAGCGTACTAGATTAACTCTGTAAAATTGTGCGGTACACGTTCACTCAATCGTGTTATATACTTATTTTAAACATGCGTCGGTATCATTTCATACGCTGGTGACAGTCTGCAGCCATCGTGGCCTGGTGTAGACAGGAATGATGTGTTAGCACACATGTTTGCTGACCATCTGCGTTCAATCAACGCCATTTTCCAGTCTGTTTTGACTATTTGTGGCGTCCTTCCGGTTTTCAATGTGTCCATCGTCCTGTCAGCCTCAATGAACGCCAGGTTTGGTAGCATCGTTTGTGATACGTGGCATGTCACTGACAGTCTATCGCCGTAGAGGCCCTTGTTTAGGTTTGTCAGCTTCTTAGACGACATTGCATTGCACGAAACAAAATTTGAGATCCAGATGTGGTCATTGGTTGGTTCGCTTAGCTGGACACTGATTGCAAACGTCTCATCACCTATTGAGATGACATTAGTGCGTTGTTAGTGCGTTGTTAGGGAGCGTAGCAATTGGTCAGTAGTTGTGCGTTGAACGGTGTTACGTGTATGTTAATATACGTCCTGCTAGCCAGGCCGACCTTCGATTACGATCGATTTTTTGATCGAGTGGTTCCATTTGGTTGCTCTATTATCTCTTGTCCTGATTCATCGGTGACCACGTAAAGTTTGCGGTTGGCCTCTCATGCTCTGATTGGTGCTGGAGTGACCTCTGTCTTTGGCCTATCTGGGTTCCATTTTGTGACCTTTGTTGATTGGACTCCAAGGCGTTCCTTGTTTATTGGTTTGTTAATCCGATATTAGGCTCTCCTCGAGTATTCCAGTTGAGGTATTGAACCTTCACAATTAGCGGTGCGTAAATTGGATGTAGTCCAGTCCGTCATTTGATGGAGTCCATCGCGAAGTACCATGCTTCCAGATCCAGATGTGTCATACTTTAGTGGAGGACTACCGTCATAAGAAATTTTTCACAAATCTCATCGTCATCGACAGCAAGACATCAGTGTCCAACACTGCAGTGTCCACTGCCGTACAACCATGACTTATTTGAAAGCCTTATTGTAAAGAAAAGAGTAAAGGTGGACGCGGAAGGCGCTTAGTGCTAGCTTACCACAATCAGTCCGAGATGCTTACACCTCCAGACATTCAATCAGGCAATCTGGATAGAAACTGACAACAAGAACGCCA